CACAGACAATCAGAAATGGTCAATATCCGATGTTCACATTTTAGGTAGCTAGCTAACGTTAGTTTGGTGGCCTGCTGCTGGCTCGTTCACTCCCTCTCTGCCACCGCCCCTGAAAGAGAACTGGGATAACATCTTCCATTAACCCTCTTACCAGTAGTATCTGCTCCGTCTTGCCTCTCCAAAAACGTATGTACACTTCCCCGCAAAGACACCTTATTTAAACTGTATATTAAAATAAATGTTATTGGAATCGAAATCTCTTTCCTGCCTCATAGTGGGACGCCATCTTGATTTATTTGCCTTCCTTCCTATGGTTCCTGTTTGAAGTCACGTTTTCACTTCATGACGACACAAGTGTAGATAAATAAACATACAGGGTGCCCTGCAATTTTATCCACAGCATTCTCTCATTACATTGAATTGCACATAAGTTGGTTGTGTACGTTTTGGAAATGGAAATGTATACACTTTTGTATTATACAACCATAACAGAAATTGGACAACGAATGTAATTTCTCTCAGAAAACACTAAATGTAATTGAAAAAACATAAAACAATGAAATCAAAAAATGTCACATGCCAGTGCAATGTATAGTATTTTTTTGTCTATCATCCTTGGCTACACTGAAGAGATGTTCCCAGACATTTTCTTTATAGAATTTTTGTCATCCTACTCTGGATTCATTAATTATTTAATCCCTTCGAATATCAGGAGACCATGATGGCCAGTCAGTCAAGTGTTTACATGGAAAGCACGGTTAGTGTTACCTTGAGAGCCCTAACCATAACCATGCCAATGTTGTTGAGTTTATTGATAATTTTCATGAAACAGTGACTAGCTGGGGATCCAATGTGGGTAGGATATTGCCCAAAAGCCTATCACCATGAGATACTTCAGCATTATGCATGAAGACCTTTTCAGAACAAAATAGCACTAAAGCCACAATCCTGAGGTTTGGTTTGGTATAAAGTTAAGGGATGGGGCTGGGGAAATGTAACCACTCTCAAATCCAAACCCAGGTCCATGCGACTGTTAGTCCAACACCTTATGCGTTACACAAAGAGGTCCAGGTAAGGTGTTGTACCAAGGTCACTACCCTACACCCTTCATTTTAAAAACATGTCCCCATGCTTCACTCTTACAAGTCCCTTGTGCCCATACCGTTGGGACATACTTTCAATGGCCATACCGGGGAACCATCCCACTTCTAACGCCAACATAACGAATTCGGGGGGAAGCCCAACTCAATCCTGCGTCTCTTGACGAAATGGCTGGGTGTTAGTCTAAATTCGCTACAATATGACATGCTAATTTAAATGACCATTGAACAGCAGGTAATATCCCAGATTGTGCGTTTAATGAAACTAAGATCAGCCACACTGGCCTTCCATTCCTTCCAAAGCTTTGATCAAGGAGAATGGTGATACAATCAGAACTGATGGAATGAAATCAATGGTGATGTCATCATCATCAACAGTCAAATGCAAGTGTACTGTCCCACAGTAGCCTATATGATGCAAAGATCCAGCTAAGGAAAATCCCTCAATACCTAATGATTGAGAAATCTATATATTTCATCATTTTGGATTGTCTATCCTTCCCATTAATTTGTGTAGCATACATCAGAGCCATATACAGTGCCTTCAGAAAGTATTCACACCACTTGACTTTTTCCACATTTTGTTGTTACAGCCTGAATTTAAAATGGATAAAAAATTACAATTAAATCACTGGCCTACACACAATACCCCAAAATGTCAAAGTGGAATTATGTTTTTATTTTATTTTATTTTTTATTAATTAAACATTAAAAGCTGAAATGTCTTGAGTCAATAAGTATTCAACCCCTTTGTTATTGCGAGCCTAAATACGATCAGCAGTAAATAGGTGCTTAACAAGTCACATAATAAGTTGCATGGACTCATTCTGTGTACGATTATAGTCTTTAACATGATTTTTGAATGATTACCTTATCTCTGTACCCACACACACAATTATATGTAAGTGTCCCTCAGTCGAGCAGTGAATTTCAAACACAGATTCAACCACAAACACCAGGGAGGTTTTCCAATGCCTCGCAATGAAGGGCACCTATTGGTAGATGGCTAAAAAAATAAAATAAAGTAGATATTGAATATCCCTTTGAGCATGGTGAAGTTATTAATTACACTTTGGATGGTGTATCAATACAACCAGTCACTACAAAGATACAGGTGTCCTTCCTAAGTCAGTTGACGGAGAGGATTTCACCATAAGGCCAATGGTGACTTTAAAACAGTTACAGTTTAATGGCTGTGATAGGAGAAAACTGAAGATGGAACAACAACATTGTAGTTACTCCACAATACTAACCTAATTGACAGAGTGAAAAGAAGGAAGCTTGTACATAATACAAATATTCCAAAACATGCATCCTGTTTGCAACAAGGCGCTAAGTAATATTGCAAAAAATGCAATTCACTTTTTGTCCTGAATACAAAGTGTTATGTTTCTGGCAAATCCAATGCAACACATTACTGAGTACCACTATCCATATTTTCAAGCATAGTGGTGGCTGCATCATGTTATGGTTATGCTTGTAATCGTTAAGGACTAGGGAATTGTTCAGGATAAAAAATTAACGTAATGGAGCTAAGCACAGGCAAAATCCGAGAGGAAAACCTGATTCAGTCTGCTTTCCCCCAGACTCTGGGAGATGAATTCACCTTTCAGCAGGACAATAACCTAAAACACAAGGCCAAATCTACACTGGAGTTGCCTACCAAAAAGACAGTGAATGTTCCTGAGTGGCCGAGTTACAGTTTAGACTCACAGACATAATCACTGCCAAAAGGTGCTTCTACAATGTATTGACTCAGGGGTGTGAATACTTATGTAAATTAGATAATTCTGTATTTCATTTTCAATGAATTTGCTAACCTTTCTAAGAACATGTTTTCACTTTGTCATTATGGGTTATTGTGTGTAGATGGGTGAGAGAGAAAAATCAATTGAATCCATTTTGAATTCAGGCTGTAACAACAACATTTGGAATGAGTCAAGGGGTATGAATACTTTCTGAAGGCTCTGGCATGCACCATCTCTTGGATTCGATAATGCTTTCTCAGGCACACCAAAAATAATCACACACGCACCTCTCGTTGGTGACAAGACTAGGGTAAGCATTCTAACATGTTCTAGAGTGACTAACTTGTTTTGTTTTTGCTTTAATGGTACGAGTTTGAAATGGGGTAGGCCTATACAGATCAATTACCATTGAGGGTTTTATCCCCTAGATCAGGGTTTCCCAAACTCGGCCCTGGGGCCCACTGGGTGCACGTTTTGATGTTGGCCCAGGCACTACACAGCTGATTCAAATAATCAAAACTTGATGATGAGTTGGTTATTTGAATCAGCTGTGTAGTGCTAGGGCAAAAACCAAAACGTGCACCCAGGAGAGGCCCCAATGACAAAGTTTGGGAAACCCTGTGCTAGATTAGAATCTGTGCATGGGTTCCAATTCACCATATTTTGTTGTCACTATTGAAAGTCCATTGTCTCAACAATATCTGTAAATTATACATGAGGAAAAACTATAGGCCTAAATTACATTCAATGATGTAAACTGTCATTGCATTACAAAACCTGCCAAACAGGAACAAATGTGCACATCTAAGAGGACCGCGCATGTCGGACGTGAGTCTAGCTACGCAAGTACGTCGTGGAGAGACAGACACGCGCAATGATAGCCGGAAGCATCGATGGGGTGGAAATAGAAATCGATCAAATTCAGTGTAGTTCGTAAGTGCAAAGCTTCGACGGACTGCCTTTTCCACGAAAGTTAGCTCGATAAATTACAGACCTCTCGACTTGGCGGTGGAGGAAATGTTGTGGAGAGAGAAGGCTGTTTCTTTTTTCAAGTTACTTGGTGGGGGTTGAGCTGACGTGGGGAGAAGTTCGAGCTGCCAGAAAAGAGCAGATAAACAAACAAACAACCAGCGGGTCAGCTGAGCGACTGTCTGTCCAAACGGGGGCTAACGTTAACCAGGGGAGACTGGGTAAATGTCAGCGAGAGCAATTCGTCGCTAGTGTTTTGGACCCAAGAATGGCTCAAATAGTGTCCTGACGTTTGTGTTTACCCCCACGCCAAGTTCAAACAGTGGCACAAAGAAGAAAAATACCACGCGAGGACAATTGTTTCACTGTGTTCCTGTCGACTAGCTTGATACAACACTGTCAACACAAAACTTTATGTGCCAATGATTTGACTGTGTATGTACTTCAACAGTTAGCTACTAAAGAATCGTCTCGCTTTATCCCATTGAAACAGAACAATATAGTACAAACGCTGAGTGGATAGAGGTAATTCGTGTTTCATTAATTTGAATCCATTTGAGTTGTCAAATGCCTAATCGTTGCAGACAGCGCCAGGCTTTGCTACACGAATACAGAGCTTGTCCTGCTTTGAATTCGTAACTAATGATTACATATGTTGCCGTTTGCCAGTCTCGTCATTTCCATCTCTGTACTCAAACTGCATGCAACTTTTCCTTAATAGCCTAATTCATAAATCTCTTCGAAGTTAAACTATTGTTTGTTGATATAGCTCCTTAGGTCCCGGGAGAGTTTCCAGCATGACCGCCTCCCTTATACATGCATGTCTAATATTGTTACAGGCCTATGTATTTATTGTAGCCAGTAAGCCAACAAGGCCCAGTTATTGTGCAACGTTCATGTGCTTGTTGGAACTAGGAAACTCGGAAATTTCCGACTTACTAACTGGTTGAAGTCTGACATTTCCGAGTTTCCTAGTTCAGGCATGTGAACTCGGCATTGTTTAATTTGGTTGTGCCATTATTTAAACGTAAATAAATTATCCAACCCACAAGGAGGAAATTCCCAAATTTGAGCGAAGTACACTTTTTAAAGTTACCTGAACATCCCTCTGTCCTCTCTCCATTTTCCCTCATTCCCCCCTCACCCTCTTTATGTGCCGACTGGTGTCAGAAGTGGGATAGCCATGGCCCACCATTCAACTCCCAGTTCCCAGAAGGCCCTGATGATGGAGCTCAAGTCCCTGCAGGAGCAGCCGGTGGAGGGCTTCCGCATCGGCCTGGTGGAGGAGTCAGACCTTTACAACTGGGAGGTGGCCATCTTTGGCCCCCCCAACACACTGTACGAGGGAGGCTACTTTAAGGTGAGGCAACTGTGGAGGGAAAGGAGGGTCATTCATGGGATGCACAACACGCTGCTTTGTTGCATAGTTGTGTAACATGTTTGTGCGTGTGTGTATGACGTGTTCAGATGTTTCTCCCTCCTTTCTCTCTCACTCCTTGTCACTCTTTCTCAGTCTTCCTTTCTCCCACTCTCCCCCTCCCTACCCAGCCTCTTTCCCCCTTGCAGTGTGATCGTTATGCTCTAGACTCCTATTTTTAGCTGTGGACAGATATAAATGGCACCTCAGCGTAGAGAGTGAGAGGTAGAGAGAGAAGGGCAGGATGAGGCTCCTCTCCTTTTTCCCTGTATAACTTATTCAGTGTGGCTAGTCCTCCACATTAACATATCAGTCTGGTGAGAGAGTGCCCATGGCCAGGCCAGGGCATGCAGACTCTTCCAACTGGGCAAAACTGATTGCATTGACATCGATGCAATGATCATTCTAACATATTTTGTGAGTGATGTCAGGGTCATGTTGTATACTGGTTGTAAAAGGAAGTTGTGTAAATGTATTTTTAGCAACCACAAATGTGTATTTATCAGGTTTTAGTCTGGCTATCGGACCAGATAACAACCGGTCTTACCAGATAACAACACAAATATGCTGTTATCTAGTTATGATGCCTTCTCAACCATAAATCCTGTTTACAATCATAAAATGATGTCATTATGACATCACATTCCAACCTTTTCTGGATTTGTAGACTAGGTTTTCAGCTAGCGGTTGAGGCAGGGGTATGCCTATAACAAGTAAGCTACTGTTTGCACATGTTATAGGTACTCTGTTTAGAAAAGTAAATCTAGGCGCCGTACAGGGAACTTATCCAAAAGGGGAGCACAGTGAAGAGTATCAAAAGTAAAGCTCACTGACCTCATCATGTCTGCACAGGGCATGTTTTGAAATGGTGATAATGTTATCTGAGTGGAAGCAGAGCAGTGCTCCCCGAAGGGCTCGGGCTCCTTGACAGAATGTTCTCACACTTCTTTTTGGTTTCATTTTGATAGTGGAATCAGTTATATAGTGGATTACACACAGTGGAGAGAGGCAGTATATTTGTGTCCAATTGAATGGCTATGATGGCGTGATGATGTCACAGGCCTGGAATTTAGCACATATAACAAGCTCTGTGTGATTTGGATTTTGCTGAATCGGCACAATTATTTTAGAGAGGTGTGAGGTAGCGATAGAGAAATACATTTAGTCACACATGCATGCACGTACTTCTGTGCATGTACACGTGCAGGCACACACACACTTGGCACCCAGTAACTCATACACACTAAAATGACCTACAAACCAGGATCATTCTCATGCAGAATTGTATCTAACTGTAATTGTCAGGGTTATTTGTCTGTCAAATAAATTAAATGTTTGAAGCTGATGCCCATTTCTGTGTCTCTCTGTCAGTCTCACATCAAGTTCCCCATTGACTACCCCTACTCCCCTCCGACCTTCCGTTTTCTCACCAAGATGTGGCATCCCAACATCTACGAGGTAAGAGTTAAGCCTAGTTAATGTATTCCCAATGTATATGAATCCAAACATATTTGGAGAGTTTTCTCCATCCAGAAGTTATTGACTGGTCGTTGTGTTCCAACAGAACGGCGACGTGTGCATCTCCATCCTTCACCCTCCCGTCGACGACCCCCAGAGCGGGGAGCTCCCCTCAGAGAGGTGGAACCCCACTCAGAATGTCAGGTACCTCACCTAGCTCCAAACCTGGTTCAACACATACAGTGGGGAAAAAAAGTATTTAGTCAGCCACCAATTGTGCAAGTTCTCCCACTTAAAAAGATGAGAGAGGCCTGTCATTTTCATCATAGGTACACGTCAACTATGACAGACAAATTGAGAAAAAAAATTCCAGAAAATTCCATTGTAGGATTTTTTAATGAATTTATTTGCAAATTATGGTGGAAAATAAGTATTTGGTCACCTACAAACAAGCAAGATTTCTGGCTCTCACAGACATGTAACTTCTTCTTTAAGAGGCTCCTCTGTCCTCCACTCGTTACCTGTATTAATGGCACCTGTTTGAACTTGTTATCAGTATAAAAGACACCTGTCCACAACCTCAAACAGTCACACTCCAAACTCCACTATGGCCAAGACCAAAGAGCTGTCAAAGGACACCATAAACCGAATTGTAGACCTGCACCAGGCTGGGAAGACTGAATCTGCAATAGGTAAGCAGCTTGGTTTGAAGAAATCAACAGTGGGAGCAATTATTAGGAAATGGAAGACATACAAGACCACTGATAATCTCCCTCGATCTGGGGCTCCACGCAAGATCTCACCCCGTGGGGTCAAAATGATCACAAGAACGGTGAGCAAAAATCCCAGAACCACACGGGGGGACCTAGTGAATGACCTGCAGAGAGCTGGGACCAAAGTAACAAAGCCTACCATCAGTAACACACTGCGCCGCCAGGGACTCAAATCCTGCAGTGCAAGACGTGTGCCCCTGCTTAAGCCAGTACATGTCCAGGCCCGTCTAAAGCTTGCTAGAGTGCATTTGGATGATCCAGAAGAGGATTTGGAGAATGTCATATGGTCAGATGAAACCAAAATATAACTTTTTGGTAAAAAGTAAACTCGTCGTGTTTGGAGGACAAATAATGCTGAGTTGCATTCAAAGAACACCATACCTACTGTGAAGCATGGGGGTGGAAACATCATGCTTTGGGGCTGTTTTTCTGCAAAGGGACCAGGACGACTGATCTGTGTAAAGGAAAGAATTAATGGGGCCATGTATCGTGAAATTTTGAGTGAAAACCTCCTTCCATCAGCAAGGGCATTCAAGAGGAAACGTGGCTAGGTCTTTCAGCATGACAATGATCCCAAACACACCGCCCGGGCAACGAAGGAGTGGCTTCGTAAGAAGCATTTCAAGGTCCTGGAATGGCCTAGCCAGTCTCCAGATCTCAACCCCATAGAAAATCTTTGGAGGGAGTTGAAAGTCCGTGTTGCCCAGCGACAGCCTCACAACATCACTGCTCTAGAGGAGATCTGCATGGAGGAATGGGCCAAAATACCAGCAACAGTGTGTGAAAACCTTGTGAAGACTTACAGAAAACGTTTGACCTGTGTCGTTGCCAACAAAGGGTATATAACAAAGTATTGAGAAACTTTTGTTATTGACCAAATACTTATTTTCCACCATAATTTGCAAATAAATTAATTAAAAATCCTACAATGTGATTTTCTGGAAAAAAAATTCTCATTTTGTCTGTCATAATTGACGTGTACCTATGATGAAAATTACATGCCTCTCTCATCTTTTTAAGTGGGAGAACTTGCACAATTGGTGGTTGACTAAATACTTTTTTTCCCCACTGTATAAATACTTGAGGTTTGCTTCATTTAGCTCAATGGAACAACAGAACCAATGGCATAGTCCCAAAAGTAAAAACTCCCCCCACCTTGCACGCGGGTCAAGCTATAAACCAATAAGTGTTTTTACATATTTGAAATAATTTATTAGATGTATTTGATGTAGGTTGGTCTAGCTCACTTCATTGGTGCTCCATTCGTGTGTATTTGTGTTACTATTTTATTTTAAAACTCTGCATCATTGGGAAGGACTCGTAAGCAAGCATTTCACGGTAAAGTCTACACCAGTTGTATTCGGCGCATGTGACAAATACAATTAGATTTTCCGTTTACCCATTTTTAACACTTTTCCACAAAAAGACAATCAACATTTACAATATAAGTTGATACAAGTGACACTGGATTACAGAAAGAAAGAGCCATTGACATCACAACCTACCAGATATTTGGGGGAGACAAAAAGACAATATGGAGTGTCATCATAACTGCTCAAATGCGTGTCACATTTTTTAAATGCAGAGCTCAGGAAAGACACAGACCCTAACAGCAGTAAAAGTGTCAAAAGATGACACATGGCAGTCGGTGAGACACTTCCTCAACCCCCAGGGCAGGTTGAAAGTTCTGAGTGTGTGTTTAACCAACCACCCAGAGAGGAAGTAGCATCTAATGGAGCCACACGGGGGGATGGTGAGGTAACACTGCTCTCAGAGGATGTCAGGTCAGATAACTCACCCACTCAAGGAAATGAAGGCCACGTTACTTAGAAGGTAAGCTAAGGTAAACGATACACTGTAAAGGTAATAGTCAGGTAATGGATATGTTTTAGAGGACATAACGTCAGATTATTAACCTGTGTGTGTACAGGACCATTTTGCTGAGTGTGATCTCTCTGCTGAATGAGCCCAACACCTTCTCACCGGCCAACGTGGACGCCTCCGTTATGTTCCGCAAGTGGAGGGACAGCAAGGGCAAGGACAAGGAATACTCAGAGATTATCAGGTAGGAAGAACACAAGCATACTAACCCAACCATTGATTACCCTTTTCACAAGAAACAAGTTGGCCTACCCACACACTAGTGCTGACCCCATTTAGTCAACTAGTCGATTGTTTGGTCGATAGGCTGTTGGTCGACCTAGATTTCTTTAGTCGAGCAGTCGCAATTATTTCAATTTTTTTCATGGTGCATAAGACACCTGTCTGATTTGCGGCTGTCTCAGTGGACTAATCCATTGTGGAGGCTGTGGGGATGGCACAGTCCATCACTCTAAGACGTGATACTGAAATTGTATATGGTTATATTATGTAAGAATAACGGTGCAACACTAAAAAATCGAATATTATTTTATAACATGCGCTTTCTCCTGCACTGTCTGCGGTTCTGAAACATAATCTTTTGTTCCCTATGTTGCTATGTGCATTATAGCAATGTTAACCAGTATATTGGGTTTGAGAACAATGCGGCGGAGGCAGCAGCAGCAGAGACGAGGAAACAGCCCTTGCCTTAGCCTAGTTATCTAAGAAAATTGAGGAGAGAGGAAAGAAACCGCAACTTAATTAGGTCTATAATCAATAGCCTAACTGTTAAATGTGTGTGCCTGGCTTTATAAATCATCCATATATCTACAGAAATAAGACAGATCTTGCTTCTGTTGCCTGTTTGTTTAATAGCCTAATGATTCCGTGAACACCAAGCCTCATGCAAAGGCAAAATGTCGGATAAAGCAATTTCACAGATTCGGCTGTTTTTAATCATTGCTATAATGTAATAAAGGCTTTACAATTTCTTTCCGTTAGAACAGACTGGTATTACTTATAATTTATTTAATGTTTACACTGTTCCAAACAGGCAGAAAAATAATACTGTAATCTAACAGCACCTGTTTGTAACAAATAATATGCACACAGCTCTCGCTCCTATACCCTCCCTTTTCTTGGTCTCCTTCTTATTGTTATTATTACAATTACTATTATGATCATCATTATAATAATAAGTATTGTCGTTATCATTAGTAGGCTTTGTATAGTAGCCTTGTATAACCACCATCGAGCTGTAGGCCTAAGAGCGCGTCCTGTTTAGTCTTATTACCATAACTTACTTAGGCCTATATTTCAATGTATAGGCAACTGTATCAATCAATTATTAATTTGTTCATGCCATCACACAGCATATGAGACATTCATGCTTTGAAATGAAATCAAGCATTTTAGTTTTACAATTAAATAACAAAGGGAGCTTTGAATAATTAGCCTAAACAATAAATAATCCGCACTTCACGAATGCATGCAACTGTTTTTAGTCTGCTGTAATAAAGGCTATATATATATATATATATATATATGTATATATATATATGTCGGTTAGGACATCTACTGTACTTTGTGCATGACACAAGTCATTTTTCCAATAATTGTTTACAGACAGATTATTTCACTTATAATTCACTGTATCACAATTCCAGTGGGTCAGAAGTTTACATACATTAAGTTGGCTGTGCCTTTAAACAGCTTGGAAAATTCCAGAAAATGATGTCATGGCTTTAGAAGCTTCTGATAGGCTAATTGACATCATTTGAGTCAATTGGAGGTGTACCTGTGGATGTACACTGCTCAAAAAAAATAAAATGAACACTACAAGAACACATTCTAGATCTGAATGAATGAAATAATCTTATTAAATACTTTTTTCTTTACATAGTTGAATGTGCTGACAACAAAATCACACACAAATTATCAATGGAAATCAAATTTATCAACCCATGGAGGTCTGGATTTGGAGTCACCCTCAAAATTAAAGTGGAAAACCACACTACAGGCTGATCCAACTTTGATGTAATGTCCTTAAAACAAGTCAAAATGAGGCTCAGTAGTGTGTGTGGCCTCCACGTGCCTGTATGACCTCCCTACAACGCCTGGGCATGCTCCTGATGAGGTGGCGGATGGTCTCCTGAGGGATCTCCTCCCAGACCTGGACTAAAGCATCCGCCAACTCCTAGCCAGTCTGTGGTGCAACGTGGCGTTGGTGGATGGAGCGAGACATGATGTCCCAGATGTGCTCAATTGGATTCAGGTCTGGGGAACAGGCGGGCCAGTCCATAGCATCAATGCCTTCCTCTTGCAGGAACTGCTGACACACTCCAGCCACATGAGGTCTAGCATTGTCTTGCATTAGGAGGAACCCAGGGCCAACCGCACCAGCATATGGTCTCACAAGGGGTCTGAGGATCTCATCTCGGTACCTAATGGCAGTCAGGCTAACTCTGGCGAGCACATGGAGGGCTATGCGGCCCCCCAAAGAAATGCCACCCCACACCATGACTGACCCACCGCCAAACCGGTCATGCTGGAGGATGTTGCAGGCAGCAGAACGTTCTCCACGGCGTCTCCAGACTCTGTCACATCTGTCACGTGCTCAGTGTGAACGTGCTCAGCTTTCATCTGTGAAGAGCACAGGGCGCCAGTGGCGAATTTGCCAATCTTGGTGTTCTCTGGCAAATGCCAAACGTCCTGCACGGTGTTGGGCTGTAAGCACAACCCCCACCTGTGGACGTCGGGCCCTCATACCACCCTCATGGAGTCTGTTTCTGACCGTTTGAGCAGATACATGCACATTTGTGGCCTGCTGGAGGTAATTTTGCAGGGCTCTGGCAGTGCTCCTCCTGCTCCTCCTTGCACAAAGGCGGAGGTAGCAGTCCTGCTGCTGGGTTGTTGCCCTCCTACAGCCTCCTCCACATCTCCTGATGTACTGGCCTGTCTCCTGGTAGCGCCTCCATGCTCTGGACACTACGCTGACAGACACAGCAAACCTTCTTGCCACAGCTCGCATTGATGTGCCATCCTGGATGAGCTGCACTACCTGAGCCACTTGTGTGGGTTGTAGACTCCGTCTCATGCTACCACTAGAGTGAAAGCACCACCAGCATTCAAAAGTGACCAAAACATCAGCAAGGAAGCATAGGAACTGAGAAGTGGTCTGTGGTCACCACCTGCAAAACCAGTCCTTTATTGGGGGTGTCTTGCTAATTGCCTATTATTTCCACCTGTTGTCTATTCCATTTGCACAACAGCATGTGAAATTTATTGTCAATCAGTGTTGCTTCCTAAGTGGACAGTTTGATTTCACAGTAGTGTGATTGACTTGGAGTTATATTGTGTTGTTTAAATGTTCCCTTTATTTTTTTGAGCAGTGTATTTCAAGGCCTACCTTCAAACTCAGTGCCTCTTTGCTTGACATCATGGGAAAATCAAAATAAATCAGCCAAGACCTCAGAAAAAATGTTTGGAGCAATTTCCAAACGCCTGAAGGTACCACGTTCATCTGTACAAACAATAGTAAGCAAGTATAAACACCATGGGACCACGCAGACATCATACCGCTCAGGAAGGAAGCCGTGTTCTGTCTCCTAGAGTTGAACGTACTTTGGTGCGAAAAGTGCAAATCAATCCCAGAACAACAGCAAAGGACCTTGTGAAGATGCTGGAGGAAACAGGTACAAAAGTATCTATATCCACAGTAAAACGAGTCCTATATCGACATAACCTGAAAGGCCGCTCAGCAAGGAAGAAGCCACTGCTCCAAATCCGCCATTAAAAAGCCAGACTACGGTTTGCAACTGCACACTGATCATACTTTTTGGAGAAATGTCCTCTGGTCTGATGAAACAAAAATAGAACTGTTTGGCCATAATGACCATCGTTATGTTTGGAGGAAAAAGGGGGACACTTGCAAGCCGAAGAACACCATCCTAACCGTGAAGCACGGGGGTGGCAGCATCATGCTGTGGGGGTGCTTTGCTGCAGGAGGGACTGGTGTACTTCACAAAATAGATGGCATCATGAGGAAGGAAAATTATGTGGATATATTGAAGCAACATCTCAAGACATCAGTCAGGAAGTTAAAGCTTGGTCGCAAATGGGTCTTCCAAATGGACAATGACCCCAAGCATACTTCCAAAGTTGTGGCAAAATGGCTACCTGAAACGTTTGACCCAAGTGAACAATTTAAAGGCAATGCTACCAAATACTAATTGAGTGTATGTAAACTTCTGACCCACTGGGAATATGATGAAAGAAATAAAAGCTGAAAGAAATCATTCTCTCTACTATTATTCTGACATTTCACATTCTTAAAATAAAGTGGTGATCCTAACTGACCTAAGACATTTTTTACTAGGATTAAATGTCAGGAATTGTGAAAAACTGAGTTTTTAAACGTATTTGGCTAAGGTGTATGTAAACTTCCGACTTCAACTGTGTGTGTGTATGTGTGTGTGTATATATATATATATATATATATATATATATATACATATATATATATATATATATATATATATATATATATATATATATATATATATATATATATATATACATACACACACACACACACACAGTGGGGAGAACAAGTATTTGATACACTGCCGATTTTGCAGGTTTTCCTACTTACAAAGCATGTAGAGGTCTGTAATTTTTATCATAGGTACACTTCAACTGTGAGAGACGGAATCTAAAACAAAAATCCAGAAAATCACATTGTATGATTTTTAAGTAATTAATTTGCATTTTATTGCATGACATAAGTATTTGATACATCAGAAAAGCAGAACTTAATATTTGGTACAGAAACCTTTGTTTGCAATTACAGAGATCATACGTTTCCTGTAGGTCTTGACCAGGTTTGCACACACTGCAGCAGGGATTTTGGCCCACTCCTCCATACAGACCTTCTCCAGATCCTTCAGGTTTCGGGGCTGTCGCACCTTTCAGCTCCCTCCAAAGATGTTCTATTGGGTTCAGGTCTGGAGACTGGCTAGGCCACTCCAGGACCTTGAGATGCTTCTTACGGAGCCACTCCTTAGTTGCGCTGGCTGTGTGTTTCGGGGCGTTGTCATGCTGGAAGACCCAGCCACGACCCATCTTCAATGCTCTTACTGAGGGAAGGAGGTTGTTGGCCAAGATCTCGCGATACATGGCCCCATCCATCCTCCCCTCAATACGGTGCAGTCGTCCTGTCCCTTTTGCAGAAAAGCATCCCCAAAGAATGATGTTTCCACCTCCATGCTTCACGGTTGGGATGGTGTTCTTGGGGTTGTACTCATCCTTCTTCTTCCTCCAAACACGGCGAGTGGAGTTTAGACCAAAAAGCTCTATTTTTGTCTCATCAGACCACATGACCTTCTCCCATTCCTCCTCTGGATCATCCAGATGGTCATTGGCAAACTTCAGACGGGCCTGGACATGCGCTGGCTTGAGCAGGGGGACCTTGCGTGCGCTGCAGGATTTTTATCCATGACGGCATAGTGTGTTACTAATGGTTTTCTTTGAGACTGTGGTCCCAGCTCTCTTCAGGTCATTGACCAGGTCCTGCCGTGTAGTTCTGGGCTGATCCCTCACCTTCCTCATGATCATTGATGCCCCACGAGGTGAGATCTTGGATGGAGCCCCAGACCGAGGGTGATTGACCGTCATCTTGAGCTTCTTCCATTTTCTAATAATTGGGCCAACAGTTGTTGCCTTCTCACCAAGCTGCTTGCCTATTGTCCTGTAGCCCATCCCAGCCTTGTGCAGGTCTACAATTTTATCCCTGATGTCCTTACACAGCTCTCTGGTCTTGGCCATTGTGGAGAGGTTGGAGTCTGTTTGATTGAGTGTGTGGACAGGTGTCTTTTATACAGGTAACGAGTTCAAACAGGTGCAGTTAATACAGGTAATGAGTAGAGAACAGGAGGGCTTCTTAAACAAAAACTAACAGATCTGTGAGAGCCGGAATTCTTACTGGTTGGTAGGTGATCAAATACTTGCGTCATGCAATAAAATGCAAATTAATTACTTTAAAATCATGCAATGTGATTTTCTGGATTTTTGTTTTAGATTCCGTCTCTCACAGTTGAAGTGTACCTATGATAGAAATTACAGACCTCTACATGCTTTGTAAGTAGGAAAACCTGCAAAATCGGCAGTGTATCAAATACTTGTTCTCCCCACTGTGTGTGTGTATATATATATATATATATATATATATTTTTTTTTTAGAACATACTCTCTCTGGTACAGTTATTTGTTTAGTGTTTACACTTCCAAATGGTCAGGAAAAAGTAATAATATTGTACTCTAACAGTAACTGTTTGGCACACACAATACTCACTCAACGCTTGCTCCTATACCCTCCCTTTTTCTTGAGCTCCAATAGTTTCCACAACTAAGTCAAATGTCTCCCCCTTTCCCTCCTGAGCAACCAGTAAACATTTGCCTGTTTAAATAAAAAAATAATGTCCTCCGCATCCATTTAGCTTGATGTGAAAGTGGTAGGCTATAGGTCAGGCCCTATTGGTCACATGCATGCAACGCTTGCATGTTTCACATAAAGAAAGCAAGGGTTGCGGGAATAGGGAATGTTGTTCCTAAACAAACTTTTCAGTCAGAAACAAGTAAGAAACGAAATGGCTGAAATTATGTTGCAGCTTCAGCAGGACAGCGCAATAAACACTTGCTGTGCTATGGTGCCTTTTCACTGCAGTAGGGAGGAGAGCGAGACAACATGCACCAGTCACACAGGCACTCGCTGTCATCTTTTTAACACAGTGTGACCATCAGGCCCTTTGAGTCATTTGTGTCTTAATTGTGCTTAAAGCATCAGACAAGCTCAGTGCATATGTAGTTGGTTTTATTCAAACACATAGGGTGTGTCTGTCTAAGTTTAAACCTTTCGACCAATCGATTGGTCGAAAGAACAGGACGACTCTCGGTCGACCAAGATTGTTTTTAGTCGGGGACAGCCCTACCACACACGCATGCACGCACGCACGCACACACACACACACACACACACACACACACACACACAGACACAGTGAGTGAGACCTTTATGACTCCTCTTCCCCTCCCACAGGAAGCAGGTGGTGTCCACAGTGGCAGAGGCGGAGCGCGACGGTGTCAAGGTTCCCACCACGCTGGCAGAGTACTGCGTCCAGACCCGGGTTCCCTCCCAGGCCAGCAGCTCAGACCTGCTCTACGACGATCTCTACGACGATGACATGGAGGAGGAGGAAGAAGATGATGAAGATGAGGAAGAGAATGACATGGAGTCAGGAGGAGAGGCAGGTGGGACCAGCGGAGGAGAAGGAGGCGTCACTACTCGCTGCTATGACGATGACCAGGAGGATTCTGGGAACGAGGACTCTTGATGATGATGGACGCCCCAAATTGACGCCTTACACCCTGCTACGTCCTATCCTAGCCTCCCTTCTGATCCTGTTAAGCTTAGAACATCCCCTAAAATACACATCTTCTGGTGCATTAATAGCAAAATAATAACTGGACAACTAGGACTCCTCAATTTGAGTGGATTCCAATTAAAGGTGTCTACAACCACAAAAAAAGCGAATATCTCAGCGAATATAATTTGTATAGTTAAATGATATTTTTTATTTATTTCTCCTTTTGAAATTTTACTTTACCGCATGCTTTTGGTTTCCTTATTCGATGGTCACATAGTCAAAGCCTGCCTCCCTGGTCTGATAGCTTGATAGAAGACAGTTGGTGAACATAAACACAAACAAACATCCGAGCCCACGGGAGCTTGTTTTGTTGCAAAATGTGCAGATAATCTCTGCCTTTAGGCTAAGATCAAGTGTAGTATCTGTTCTTGTCAGTTTAATATCTGAACAGAATTTTAGAACAGGGGAGATGGAAAATGGTCTTACTCTGTCTGCTCTACGGAACCACCTGTTATTGCAGTGCCTCCGGGAACGGAGCACACACAAAAAAAGATGCTGCTAAATGAAATGTGTTGTTCGTGTTGCATTACAATTTTGGGTGCGGTTGCTTTTGTGTATGTCCAACAACTGTCTGCGTTTTGTCATGTCACTAGATGTATTTGTTATAAGAATGTTCCGGGCTTAAATTTTTCTTTTTCAAACCAAACTCACCGAACTTGGTCCCCTCTTGGCCTATTCATACCCTGGTAATCTTTCATTTTGTTTTTTGTCCCCCTGACCGACCACGCCTTCACACCACACCTCCTGTTTCACCTCTGAACTCTGACCCCTCCAAAGCTGGGGGGTGTTCATTAGGTACCAAAATGGACTGAAACAGGGATGGACTACCATCTTCAATTGTCCAGTAAGAAATGCTCATTTTTGTTTTCCGTAGCAAAACGTTATGCTACGATGTTCCTTTATGACTATGAGCCTTTATGGGGCACTGAGAGGATGTGCTGTCTAGGACACAGAACCAGAGGAGTGTTACATCTTCCTCTCCCTCCTTCCCTCTCTCCATCCGTCTATTCTTTCCCTACTTCCAAACCTCAGGGCCTCCATAGACTCTCACTGGGAGAGAACTAGGGATGTAGTGGAGGATAAACGCACCTTAACGCCGTCTACGCACCTCTATATGTTGTGAAAAGCGTTGTTGGCACCTATTCAGCGTTTACCCACCTTATTTCTTTACTACTATATCCCTGGAGAGGGCTCACACTCAAACTGCTCCTCAGCTTGAGCTTGGTATTGTTTTGATGGATGTGTTTTTATTCTTCCAGGTGTTGTATGTGTTTACAGAGGGAACTTCAAATCTCCAACAACACTATCGATCCACATGTCTCCTCTACCTTTTTTCCCTCCAACCTCCTTTCAGGGTTTCCTTATCTTTGTTCTTTCTGTGTTGCCCTGTTCCGTTGGCCATGCTTCACAAAACTAAACTAGACCAGTCTCATCGTATGCTTGATATGCTTTCTTGGAATTGGCGCAAACTCCTGGAATTCTAGTATGCAAGCCAGTCAGGTGGTCAAAATGGAAAGTGAAGTTGAATAAGTGGTGTTCTGTATTTTAATAAACTATTTACACATGCCAAAAGGCATTAGCCATTGTTTGTTAGTTAGCACATATAGCTAAAAGAGCACATTTAGTCATCAACAACATGTATCAGCCAGGAAAGTAGATTTTGCTAAGCTGTGACAGAGCACATGCTGCATTTGTGATTCAGAGTTACACATGGAGCACCATAGCATTTTCTGAGTGAAAAATTATGCTTCTTGGAACTCCTCTGCAAATACTTGGGCTGAAGAACAGCATAGGCCCTATGTAGCAATGCTTAAGTTGTGTAAGTGAGGTGACATCACAGTCAAGTCAACCCATCAACTGTGCTCATTAGGCCTGCAGCTTTCACGTGTTTCTGTGCGCGTGTGTTTTACCATTACCCCGTTCAATGGAACACCTGTTACACCTTGCACTCACATGTAGGTGCTGGCCTGGATTGTATGCCAAGGAAATGTTTCATGACCACTTCCAGTAACGCTACAACCATCAGTCAGTTATGGATGTGTGAAGTATGTCCTGTTTTTAAGAACTATAAGGGAGAAACTTGACTAATCAGTCTGAGGAAGACTAACAGAATCAAAACAATAACTTTTCTCCTCCCTTGCTCTGTTGAACTGGGGCTGGCTTCAAGTCAAAAAATGAGTTGACTGATGGATCACAAATGGATTGTTCTTCTCCTCAGCCACTGGACGTTCAGGGATATGATGTCAACGACCGGGGTGAACCGTGTCTCAATACTCTAAAATGGCTTCCTCTCTTCACCCCCTTTTCTTCATGATCACTGATAGGTGAAAGGATTGGATACATTTCCACTTGGAAGGAAGCCATTGAGTATTGAGATGCATCGTTCTCATTCTCACTGACCTTTGCCTTCTGCGTATTGACTAGGAGGAGGCAGTTGGAACAGCGTTTACCTGGTTCTGAATCGTAGGCCAAAATGACACTTGATTAGAAGGACCACATGCTAAGCTGTCAGAATCGCACTATTGCGAAGTGTGTGTACTAGTGTTTTGAGGAGCTTTTCCCTCTGAGGCTGAAAATGGTCACGTTTGGACAAAGAATAACAATTGTCAACTGTTCCCACAGCCAGTGATATGGACGATGCAGTCCTCCTTTTGTTTTGTAGTTTGTTTCATTTAATTTCCTCTTCCTATTGTGTTGTGAGGATGCAAATGTCACTTATAAAATTTATATTATAAAAATGTTGTTGAATGGACAGAATTGTCTGAAACTCATTTCTGTTTCTTAGAAAGCAGCTGCTGTACTTTGGTTCTCCCATTTCTTAAAGTATGACAATGACAAATCATTTTGAAAAGCAGTAAGTTGTAGAAAAGAGAGGCCCTGTAGTTTTCATGTGCATATTTCTTCCTTGAACTATAATAACAGATCCAACACAATTGTATAGGTGAACGCAAGAGTTCCACTACATAGTAAACATTGATTTGACATGAACAGGTTGGAACAAGTTAATTAAGGTATCCTCATCTTGGAAGTATCAAAACGCCCACGTTTCTCACTGGATCTACCACACAAAACTGCCCATTTTTTATTTATTTATTACTTTATTAAGATCTATTACTTCATAATGTAGTGATACAATTTCTGACGTTTAAAAAATGGCATTACCCTGATCGATCAAATGAGTCAAACCATGTTAACTACACATTCACAAGAAAACATTTAATTGGTGTTGGTGTATCGGAATATACATTTAGAACCCCCCCAAAAATATACATTTAAAACCAAATTCCATTGCATAGACAAAGTTGGATGATCGTCTTGGCATTTAAAATACTCTTGATGTTAAAGAAAATATTTAAATAATTTCTGAATGAGGTTGATTAACTTCACTCAAGCACAGGTCAAATGAGAAACATTTCTATGCTTACAATGCGGACCACATCATCACCAGGACCCACAAACAAAGAGCAGGCAGGGGATGATCTTTGAACCCCAGATGTCCGCGAGAGTGAGCAGTAGTAACAATGCTGGTAGTGGCGGGAGGGGGAGGCAGAGAGACACTCACAGTCTTCAAGGTTTTTAAGTCCCCTGTCCTCAGACATAAAATCTCTCGGACAGTGCTCTGGAAACAGCCGGACACCACCTGGGTAGAATGAGTTCAGCATGTCATGCAGCTCTGCCAGGGTTTTCGGGGGCAAGTCTTTTTTATGGGGTTCCTCCCTGTCGTTCAGACATCCACTGTCCAGTCTGTCCCACCTTGCTATTGAAACAACAGTAGGCTGTCCACAGGAGAGACGGGATGTTCACTCTCTTTTTATTTTTTCATACTGGCCCCCTGTGGGAATCAAACCCACAACCCTGGTGTTGCAAACGCCATGCTCTACCAACTGAGCTACATCCCTGCCGGCCATTCCCTCCCCTACCCTGGATGACGATGGGCCAATTGTGCGCCGCCCCATGGGTCTCCCGGTCACGGCCGGCCATGACAGAGCCTGGATTCGAACCAGGATCTCTAGTGGCACAGCTAGTACTGCGATGCAGTGCCTTAGACCACTGCGCCACTCGGGAAATCTTGGTGTTGTTGTCAGACGTGTGCAAATTTGGGAACAGGTGACCTCTGTTCACCCCAGTTGTATTCAGTGAGTTCCTATAGTCCTTGTTCACTGCCTGGTGTGTGTAATTTACAAATTCTGACTCCAGACTCATTGTCTCGTTGTTTCCCCCGTCAAGCTGGGGTTCTATCATCCATGGTACTTTTGGTCTGCCTTTTAATAGCACCAGTGAAGGTGTAGGCTGAGAACACAGGGATCCATTTTTTGGTGTCGTAGAGGGTTGCATACCTGTAGTTGTTCTTGTACAACTTGCAAATTGGCATGAAGCGGTTCTGGTCCAGGACGTTCCCATCAACCAAAATACCTGAGATATTTGGAGTCATCTCCTCCATGAAGAACCCCTGACACTCTGAAACGTCACTGAACCTCTCCACCACATGAGAGATCACAGGAGGGAGGAGAGAGAGAAGGAGAAGAGCAGAGAGAAGCGTAGGCATAAACACCCTCATCATCATCACCTGCATGAATACTATGCCACTGAGACAAAAGTTTAGTTGCTGATACCAGTTTGTAGAGTAGACTGCAGAGCCGAGTCTTGACTGGCTGCTTTAAATAGGTTTTCAACAGGATCCTTGAGACGGCAAGGCTGGAGGAAGTTTTGATTAATTTCCATCAGATAAAGAAGGGAAAGACCCATGCGATAAATACATTCTTCACCAACCTGGTCTCAAAGCATTTTGTATTATTATGTACGTAAAGCTGAGACTCAATTTAGTATGATATGTTGCGTTTCGTATGGTGTGTATTAATTTGTGGATGTCCATCACACATTTCGTATGATATGTTACGAATTACAATTCGTATTATGTTATGAATTTGCAAAACGTACAATATGTTACGAATTCTAGATACAGTGGGGGAAAAAAGTATTTAGTCAGCCACCAATTGTGCAAGTTCTCCCACTTAAAAAGATGAGAGAGGCCTGTAATTTTCATCATAGGTACACGTTAACTATGACAGACAAAATTAGAAAAAAAAATCCTGAAAATCACATTGTAGGATTTTTAATGAATTATTTGCAAATGATGGTGGAAAATAAGTATTTGGTCACCTACAAACAAGCAAGATTTCTGGCTCTCACAGACCTGTAACTTCTTCTTTAAGAGGCTCCTCTGTCCTCCACTCGTTACCTGTATTAATGGCACCTGTTTGAACTTGTTATCAGTATAAAAGACACCTGTTCACAACCTCAAACAGTCACACTCCAAACTCCATTATGGCCAAGACCAAAGAGCTGTCAAAGGACACCAGAAACAAAATTGTAGACCTGCACCAGGATGGGAAGACTGAATCTGCAATAGGTAAGCAGCTTGGTTTGAAGAAATCAACTGTGGGAGCAATTATTAGGAAATGGAAGACATACAAGACCACTGATAATCTCCCTCGATCTGGGGCTCCACGCAAGATCTCACCCCGTGGGGTCAAAATGAAGAACGGTGAGCAAAAATCCCAGAACCACACGGGGGGGACCTAGTGAATGACCTGCAGAGAGCTGGGACCAAAGTAACAAAGCCTACCATCAGTAACACACTACGCCGCCAGGGACTCAAATCCTGCAGTGCCAGACGTGTCCCCCTGCTTAAGCCAGTACATGTCCAGGCCCGTCTGAAGTTTGCTAGAGTGCATTTGGATGATCCAGAAGAGGATTGGGAGAATGTCATATGGTCAGATGAAACCAAAATAGAACTTTTTGGTAAAAACTCAACTCGTTGTGTTTGGAGGACAAAGAATGCCGAGTTGCATCCAAAGAACACCATACCTACTGTGAAGCATGGGGGTGGAAACATCATGCTTTGGGGCTGTTTTTCTGCAAAGGGACCTGGACGACTGATCCGTGTAAAGGAAAGAATGAATGGGGCCATGTATCGTGAGATTTTGAGTGAAAACCTCCTTCCATCAGCAAGGGCATTGAAGATGAAACGTGGCTGGGTCTTTCAGCATGACAATGATCCCAAACACACCGCCCGGGCAACGAAGGACTGGCTTCGTAAGAAGCATTTCAAGGTCCTGGAGTGGCCTAGCCAGTCTCCAGATCTCAACCCCATAGAAAATCTTTGGAGGGAGTTGAAAGTCCGTGTTGCGCAGCGACAGCCCCAAAACATCACTGCTCTAGAGGAGATCTGCATGGAGGAATGGGCCAAAATACCAGCAACAGTGTGTGAAAACCTTGTGAAGACTTACAGAAAACGTTTGACCTGTGTCATTGCCAACAAAGGGTATATAACAAAGTATTGAGAAACTTTTGTTATTGACCAAATACTTATTTTCCACCATAATTTGCAAATAAATTCATTAAAAATCCTACAATGTGATTTTCTGGATTTTTTTTCTCATTTTGTCTGTCATAGTTGACGTGTACCTATGATAAAAATTACAGGCCTCTCATCTTTTTAAGTGGGAGAACTTGCACAATTGGTGGCTGACTAATGTTAGCTAGCTAGCTACCGTTATCTAGGCTACATTTACATTTACATCATTTAGCAGACGCTCTTATCGAGCGACTTACAAATTGGTGCATTCAACTTATGATAGCCAGTGGGACAAACACTTTTTTTTAAATGGAGGGATGGGGGGGCAGGGCGGGGCGGGGCGGGGGGGTAGAAGGATTACTTTTATACTATTCCAGGTATTCCTTAAAGAGGTACGGTTTCAAGTGTGTCCAGAAGGTGGTCAGTGACTCCGCTGTCCTGGCGTCGTGGGGGAGCTTGTTCCAACATTGGGGTGCCAGAGCAGCGAATAGCTTTGACTGGACTGAGCGGGAACTGCGCTTCCGTAGAGGTAGGGGGGCTAGCAGGCCAGAGGTGGATGAACGTAGTGCCCTCGTTTGGGTGTAGGATCTGATCAGAGCCTGAAGGTAAGGAGGTGCCGTTCCCCTCACAGCGCCGTAGGCAAGCACCATGGTCTTGTAGTAGATGCGAGCCTCAACTGGAAGCCAGTGGAGTGTGGGGAGGAGCGGGGTGACATGAGAGAACTTGGGAAGGTTGAACACCAGACGGGCTGCAGCGTTCTGGATAAGTTGTAGGGGTTTAATGGCACAGGCAGGGAGCCCAGCCAACAGCGAGTTGCAGTAATCCAGATGGGAGATGACAAGTGCCTGGATTAGGACCTGTGCCGCTTTCTGTGTAAGGTAGGGTCGTACTCTGCGAATGTTGTAGAGCATGAACCTGCAGGATCGGGTCACCGCTTTGATGTTAGCGGAGAACGACAGGGTGTTGTCCAGGGTGACGCCAAGGTTCTTTGCACTCTGGGAGGAGGACACAATGGAGTTGTCAACCGTGATGGCGAGATCATGGAGCGGGCAGTCCTTCCCCGGGAGGAAGAGCAGCTCCGTCTTGCCGAGGTTCAGCTTGAGGTGGTGATCCGACATCCACACTGATATATATATTTTTTTAAAACTTTATTTTAACAGGGAAAAACAGACTGAGACCTGGATCTCTTATACAGCTGTGCCCTGTGTAAACATGTTGACATGTACAGTTTTAGACATACAAACAAGAACATTTCAAACATACAAAACAAAAACACAATTCAACAGAAACAATCACAGACAACATCATATTGATCCTCCATAAAAAATTTAAAATGGGCAAGGGACACCAGAGTGTCTATCTTAAGTTGGATCTGCAGTTTGTTCCATAAATAAGGTGCAAAGAACTGAAGGCAGTCCTACCCAACTCTGTGGAGACCACAGAAGTCTCTAATGTAATCCACATCTGTGATCTGGTTTTAAAATTAGTATATCTAGTGGAAATTAATGATGATATATTTGGAGGTAGCTTTAAAATAAGTGCTTTATAAATAAATAAGAGAGCATGTTGCTCTCGCCTCACAGATAGAGAGGCCCAACCCACATGTTGATATAGGAAACAGTGATGAGTTTTTTAACTATCAACTGTGATAAACCTGAGTGCACAATGGTAAATAGCATCCAGTGGTTTTAATGTGTTTGCCGATGCATGCATATAGATAATATCACCATAATCTAAAACGGACATAAAAGTAGCCTGCACAATTTGTTTTTTATTTACGGAGGACAGACAAGCCCTGTTTCTGTAAAGGAACCCTATCTTGAATTTGTGCTTTTTTCCCAATTCAGTAACATGTTTTTTAAAAGAAAGCCTATCATCTAACCATACCCCTAAGTATTTATATGCAGAGACCTGTTTGATTTGAGTACCATCCAAGCTAGTGATTACAAAAGTGTTTCAAATTGAGAGTTTAGACCTAGAAAAAAACATGACATTTGTTTTCTTAGCGTTTAAAACAAGTTTAAGCTGTAAAAGAGACTCCTGTAGTATCCTAAAATCAGACTCCAACTGCATTAAAGCTTGGTCCGCTGTTGGAGCAATAGAGTACATCACTGTGTCATCTGCATATAAATGGAATTTACAATATCTGATATCATCACCAATGTTGTTTATATAAAGTGAGAACAATAGTGGGCCAATTATTGAACCCTGAGGGACCCCTTTAGGTAACTGTAAGGGGTCAGACTTGACCCCGTCGACCATGACGGCCTGAGTTCTATCTTTAAGATAGTCATAAAACCATCGACAGGCATCAGTGCCCAGTCCTATAGATGACAGCTTACTCAAAAGGATAGCATGGTCTACAGTGTCAAAAGCTTTTGACAAATCTACAAACAATGCAGCACAGTGCTTTCTATCATCTAAGGCATTTGCAATATCATTTACAACAAGCATAGTGGCCGATGTGGTACTGTGTTTAGATCTAAAACCAGATTGATTGGTGCTAAAAATACAGTTAACAGAAAGAAAAGATTGTAACTGTTTGTTGACTATAGATTCTAGGATCTTTGCCAGACAAGGGAGCCTAGAGATGGGTCGATAGTTATCCAAATCACTACCGTCACCTCCCTTATGTAATGGCAGAACAAAAGCTGCTTTCCACACCTTAGGGATATTTCCTGTGCTTAATGTTAGATTAAAAATGTGTCACTGAACCAGCAATGATAGGTGCAGCACACTTAAGTAAGTATGGGTCTAAATTGTCAGCGCCTAAGGATCTCTTAGTATCAATGGCACACAGGGCAGCTAGAACCTCTGCTTCAGTTATTTTCTGGAAACTAAAAACAGGGTTACCATTTTTCAGAGCAACGGTTGAAAAGCAAGACGAAAAATCTACTAACTGGCCAGTACCACAATGGCCACTTTTCTTTTCAAATAAAAAACCTGCAGAGATGAAATGCTTATTAAAAGCATCACAAATATTATTATTTTTCACTTAGAATACAGGAGTCTGAGATAATTTGCTTAGGAAGAGAAACAGCACATGTCAGTGAATTAACGGTTTTCCAGAATTTTGCAGGATCTCCTGCAGAATCTGTCATAGCATTAAGGAAGTAATTTGATTTTGCCTTTTTGACAGCTGCAGTACATTTATTTCTCAATTGCCTAAAAAACAGCCAATCAGCTGGAGTACCTGTTTTCCTCGCCAAGGCCCAGGCCCGATTCTTTTGCAGAAAAAGACCTGACAATTCAGGAGAGAACCAAGAACTGGTTCAGTTTTTTACTCTGTGAATCTTAAGCGGGCATGTTTATCAGACATAGAGGTAACAATAGAAGAGAAAAAAGCAAGGGCTAAAACTGGGTCCAGAAAGCAGCAAATGGATAAAAGCTCATAGTGATATAAGTCAAGGATAAAAGCTTGCTGTGCGATATACCCCTGCTAAAGTTAAATGAGCATTATTACCAAGTACCACATTTAAAACTAGACATTCATATTGCTTTGGGACAGAGGTTGATATGGACACAGAAACATTTAAGCAGCATTTTACATAAATCGCGATACCACCAACTCTATCAGCTCTATAAATATTGTACCCAATCAACTGAACATCTGAATCAGGCACAAAATCACACAGCTACGATTCAGATACAATCAGTACGTCAACATTTGATTGTGAGACCAAAATTTCAATAAAGTCCAACTTTTGGATCAGGCTTCTAGCATTCAAATGAATTATTCCAATGCCATTGCTACGGGAATTCATATCAGATGGAGTATCCAAGGTAACACCTGAAGCTGCACTGAATGAGCAATAAACCATTTTTGAGCTATTGACAGGGCTCAATATTATGGGGACAAGATTACTACTAACAATACCTCTCTGCATGTAAGTAGTATTCGCAATACGGTGATTGGACAATAATCTAGGAATTGCAGAAAGGTTGTTAGCTGAAGTTTGTTCCATATTTGCAATTGAGGGACTAATTAATGAAACTGGGAGAGGAGCATTGAACATAGTCTGATAGGGGAGCGTACAATCCCAAAAGTCAACCCCCGAAAATACACAACGTCAGGTATCAAAGGCTCTACATGAGGCAAGAGTAAGAGACATAATTTGTAAGTCGCTCTGGATAAGAGCGTCTGCTAAATGACGTAAATGTAAATGTAAATGTTGGTGGAGAGGATGCTGGAGCCATACCTGTTAAGATGTAAATTGTCCCGAAGAAATAGACCTGGTCGGTCTGTAAAAGCTGCAAAGTTATCCACAAAAGGAATTCCCATCGTGCAGCAGTACTCCTTAAGCCAGGTGTGTAATTGGCGTATACGACTAAAAACCATATCCGTGTAGCGTGGGGATGGAAAAGGACCGGAAACAACACACTGCTTCCTAGATTCCAGCAGCGTATTTATCAATGTTTTAAAATCGTCTCTCAATTTCTCTGACTGCTGGAGTTTAATGTCATTTGACCCAACATGGACAATGACAGTTGAAGCGGCGGAGTGCTTGCTAATAAGTAGCGGTAGCATGGAATTTAGGTCAGGGATCCTAGTGCCAGGGTAGCAGAAAGTCTCAGCTTTCCGGATTGAAATGTTTCGGACCATGGATGAACCCACCACGAGAACGGAAGGACTACAGATGGGTTTATTGGGTAAATGACGGGGCCTCTCCCGGGTGATCTGCCTCCTAGCAGGTTGAGGGGGGCTAGCAGCTGAGACTGACGATCTTGCGGTAGGCAAGGAGCGCAGATGAGTGTGCTTGGGCACTTCCACCTGAGAGTGAGACGGCAGCAGTAGAGATGTAGCGGAGGGACCCTGTACAGTATGATTGGAATGCACTTCCAGGTCTTCCAGGACCTTGAATCTCCTCCCCAATTGTAGCACTTCCGAAACATTTGATGGATTCCGTTTCCTGGGGTGCTTTACTCCCCGGACAGCAATCCAGGCATCATGAGGCGGAGCAGAAGGGGTGGAACAGACCGGGCCCTTCGATTTAGCTCCTAGCCTGGGCCATGGCTCATTTAAGGGAACCGAATGGAGTTTCTCCGTTACAGGCTCCCCAGAAGTGGAGGTGCCGAGCCAGGGGCAGGTGACGTCGTCGATTTTGGAGGTGGTTTGTGCAACCATGGAGTCCAGGAGTTCTTCATCCTCCTTGATCTGGCGCAAGACAGATACTCTCCCCTCCAGCTCAGCAACTCTCTGGCTCAGGTACTGGCAGGTGGTACATCCAGGGATGAGCGAAGCCATGAGAGACATCCAACTTCCAGCTTGCTCCTCTCTGTAGGTCGTCTCGTCGTTGTTGGTAACCAGGAATCTGGGACACAAACTTGCGGTCCCAGCCGTAAAGGCTGATCGCGTCGCGGAATCAGTAGCAATGCAAACTTTAGCTATGATTTAAAAACGATTTCATAAAAACAACAAACCGAGTGTAGGCAGTACACGGTTCTGTTGTGCGCTCTGATGACGTCTGTTGCGTGATGACGTGTGGGGTTTTCCGTTGAGTGTAGTATGCAATGAAAAACACCAAATAATGCATGCAGATATATCTGCCAGACATGCAGAGATGTGATTCGCCACCTGGTTATCAGAAGGGGGAAAGGAGAAAATTAATTGTGTGTCGTCTGCGTAGCAATGATAGGAGAGACCATGTGAGGATATTACAGAGCCAAGTGACTTGGTGTATAGAGAGAATAGGAGAGGGCCTAGAACGGAGCCCTGGGGGACAACCAGTGGTGAGAGCATGTGGTGCGGAGACAGATTCTCGCCACGCCACCTGGTAAGAGCGACCTGTCAGGTAGGACGCAATCCAAGAGTGAGCAGCGCCGGAGATGCCCAACTCGGAGAGGGTGGAGAGGAGGATCTGATGGTTCACAGTATCAAAGGCAGCAGATAGGTCTAGAAGGATAAGAGCAGAGGAGAGAGAGTTAGCTTTAGCAGTGCGGAGAGCCTCCGTGACACAGAGAAGAGAAGTCTCAGTTGAATGACCAGTCTTGAAACCTGACTGGTTTGGACCAAGAAGGTCATTCTGAGAGAGATAGCAGGAGAGTTGGCTAGAGACGGCACGCTCAAGAGTTTTGGAGAGAAAAGAAAGAAGGGATACTGGTCTGTAGTTGTTGACATCGGAGGGATCGAGTGTAGGTTTTTTGAGGAGGGGTGCAACTCTCGCTCTCTTGAAGACGGAAGGGACATGACCAGCGGTCAAGGATGAGTTGATGAGCGAGGTGAGGTAAGGGAGAAGGTCTCCGGAAATGGTCTAGAGAAGAGAGGAGGGGATAGGGTCAAGCGGGCAGGTTGTTGGCCATCACAAGTCACAAGATTTCATCTGGAGAGAAAAGGGAGAAAGAAGTCAAAGCATAGGGTAGGGCAGTGTGAGCAGGACCAGCGGTGTCATTTGACTTAATAAATGAGGATCGGATGTCGTCAACCTTCTTTTCAAAATGGTTGACGAAGTCATCCACAGAGAGGGAGGAGGGAGGGGGAGGGGGAGGAGGATTCAGCAGGGAGGAGAAGGTGGCAAAGAGCTTCCTAGGGTTAGAGGCAGATGCTTGAAATTTAGAGTGGTAGAAAGTGGCTTTAGCAGCGGAAACAGAGGAAGAGAATGTAGAGAGGAGGGAGTGAAAAGATGACAGGTCCGCAGGGAGTCTAGTTTTCCTCCATTTCCGCTCGGCTGCCCAGAGCCCTCTTCTGTGAGCTCGCAATGAGTCGTCAAGCCACGGAGCAGGAGGGGAGGACCGAGCCGGCCGGGAGGATAGGGGACATAGAGAATCAAAAGATGCAGAAAGGGAGGAGAGGAGGGTTGAGGAGGCAGAATCAGGAGATCGGAGGGAGAAGGATTTAGCAGAGGGAAGAGATGATAGGATGGAAGAGGAGAGAGTAGCGGGAGAGAGAGAGCGAAAGTTGCGACGGCACATTACCATCTGAGTAGGGGCAGAGTGAGTAGTGTTGGAGGAGAGCGAGAGAGAAAAGGATACAAAGTAGTGGTCGGAGACTTAGAGGGGAGTTGGTGTGAGATTAGTAGAAGAACAGCATCTAGTAAAGATGAGGTCAAGCGTATTGCCTGCCTTGTGAGTAGGGGGGGACGGAGAGAGGGTGAGGTCAAAAGAGGAAAGGAGTGGAAAGAAGGAGGCAGAGAGAAATGAGTCAAAGGCAGACGTAGGGAGTTAAAGTCACCCAGAACTGTGAGGGGTGAGCCATCCTCAGGAAAGGAACTTATCAAGGCGTCAAGCTCATTGATGAACTCTCCAAGGGATCCTGGAGGGCGATAAATGACAAGGATGTTAAGCTTGAATGGGCTAGTGACTGTGACAGCATGGAATTCAAATGAGGAGATAGACAGATGGGTCAGGGGAAAAAGAGAGAATGTCCACTTGGGAGAGATGAGGATTCCTATGCCACCGCCGCGCTGACCAGATGCTCTCGGGGTATGCGAGAACACATGATCAGACGAGGAAAGAGCAGTAGGAGTAGCAGTGTTTTCTGTGGTAATCCATGTTTCCGTCAGCGCCAAGAAGTCGAGGGACTGGAGGGTAGCATAGGCTGAGATGAACTCTGCCTTGTTGGCCGCATAACGGCAGTTCCAGAGGCTGCCGGAGACCTGGAACTCCATGTGGGTCGTGCGGGCAGGGACCACCAGATTAGAGTGGCAGCAGCCACGTGGTGTGAAGCATTTGTATGGCCTGTGCAGAGAGGAGAGAACAGGGATGGACAGACATAGTTGACAGGCTACAGAAAAGGCTACAATAATGAAAAGGAGATCGGAATGAAATTAACTGAACATCTGGGAAAGCAAGAGAGCGGGGCCTCCCTCTAGGGGTTAAGGTTAGTTTTAGGGGAAGGGTTAGCTAAAAGGGTTGGGGTTAGTTAACATGCTAAGTAGTCGCAAAGTAGCTACTTTCGTTTTTGCCTTAACTAACCATCTGCCTTATGTAAGGAGAGTGGCGCAGTGGTCTAAGGCACTGCATCGCAGTGCTAGCTGTGCCACTAGAGATCCTGGTTCGAATCCAGGCTCTGTCGTGACCGGGAGACCCATGGGGCGGCGCACAAGTTGTCCAGGGTAGGGGAGGGAATGGCCGGCAGGGATGTAGCTCAGTTGGTAGAGCATGGCGTTTGCAATGCCAGGGTTGTGGGTTCGATTCCCACGGGGGGCCAGTATGTATAACTGTAAGTCGCTCTGGATAAGAGCGTCTGCTAAATGACTAAAAATGTTTTTTAAAAAGTAAAATGTAACCATACCAAACGTAACATGTCATAGTAATTTGATTTTCCCGGATTTACCTTTACTATGTTACGTCTAATAATAATAATAATAATAATATGCCATTTAGCAGACGCTTTTATCCTCTATGAGTCTATGAGACCAGGTTGTCTTCACTCCTTCCTAATTGCAGTTCCTTGGATGTGGATTTCTGCCATCCTGAGTTAAACATTAACTTTATATGAATAACATTGGTTAGAACAATAGTTTGTATAGTGGATGTGAAACTCGCCTGTAGCATGTTGGCTGGAGTAAATCAGTGACCCTCACCCTGAGATCTAACGACAACTGTTGCGCATAGAGTGACCGGATTATCTCTTGCTCTGTTGCCTAAGATATAATAATAATATGCCATTTAGCAGACGCTTTTATCCAAAGCGACTTACAGTCATGCGTGCATACATTTTTGTGTATGGGTGGTCCCGGGGATCGAACCCACTACCTTGGCGTTACAAGCGCCGTGCTCTACCAGCTGAGCTACAGAGAAGCCAAGATGGTTGGCTTTGATTTACAAGTGGTGTTGTATAGAAGGTTACTAGTTCGATCCCTGTTTGGGGCAGCACAAAATGCACTCTTACATCTTTATAGCATAGTTCAGAGCATGTAGCCCTTTCTATGATTATGCAGTCAGGATATTACTTAGTTCTTCACAGAGGGTTGAAGGGTATCCTGACCTGACGCTGCCTGGACCCTGAAGTGGGATGGGTTGGCAAAAAACTGATTCCTGGGTCAAAATCTAACTCTCACATGGTAATCTGCCAAAGCATTTTTTTTGTAACTATAATCTTAATTTAAAGCTCAAGCAGCAGTCAGTCAGTGGACAATACCTTTTTTCTACAGTAGTTATTTTTTGGACATCCTTTCTCCTTTCATTACCCAAAATCACATTCCTTCTCACCTGAGGATCAGGTGTTTATTTGTTTGCCTTGCACTGAAAAGCAGGAAAAAACTATTTAAAAAAAATTTGTTCAGGTTTCAATCTTTGGACTTGGAAAAGGGGGGAAATTAAGAATGTTATTTTCTTTCCTGGTTCAATCATTGTAAGGCAACAGTAGTTAAGTACACATAGTCGGTCCCTGATCAATCTAAACTCTCATCCTCTCTCAAGCTTTCTCTCTCTGTTTCCCCTCTCCCTCCTTCCCTCTCTCAGCCCTCCACCTCTCACCATTGTAATGCAATTCCTAACTATTAGGCTATGCAATTATGGAAAGAAGAGTGAAAGGTCTGGTGTAGGAAAAAAATTAAATACCACAATGAGTTTACTGCAACTTCTTGTCCGACTTTCAAAGGAAACAAACAGTTTAACAGAAAATTAACTTCAGGTGAAATTAACCATGTCCTTTTGCATTCACGAGAACTTGCTGAGGAAGCCATTTGAACTGGTAGGTCTGGGGACTTGAATTGAGTCAATGCTCTAGGGCTTTTCTTGAATAAGTTTACAACAGGGGTGCATGTGTCCCCATTGGATGTTGGGCAACAGGGGTGCATGAGTCCCCATTGGATGTTGGGCTGCTCATTTTACCTTAAATATTAATCATTGTCAAAAGTACCTCCATCTGGTTTCTCAAGCATGAAATGAGCCACTGGTTGAACGGTGCCCTAGCTGACCTGAGACTGAATTGGTGCACCTCCTGTGAAATTCAACTTGTCTCCCCCTAGTGGTGATGTTTTGTTGCAGGATCACATCTTTGACAGTGCAGTCGAGGTTTACACACAACTATGTGATAGTTAATTGGAAAAGGCAACTACTGCTGACATGTGCCAACTCATTTATTGTGATCATAAATCAAAATCATATTACTGTATATTTTCCATAAATATCTCAGGAGTAAGGGTGAAAGCCTGGTGAGTCAACGCTCAAGTTATGTAATGAAAGGTCCATATTTTAAGGGATTGTTTTTAATCTTGTTTAAAATGCAAGACAAATAGGTTATTGGTCATCACACAATGTTAACACATTAAAAACTTTTCTGACTATTAGTTTGGTGGCAGTTCCTTGGGGGTATAAGTATGTGACACAGGGGTCCAATGACTTGCTCAGACCAAATTCCCACCATAGAATTAGGAATTATAACTCACTTTAGATTCACACGTTCTGTTCCATTTATTATCAAGACTGTGCAGACCCACAGACACTAGTCTCGTGCATCTGTGCCCAATAGCCTGGAGACGAGGTTACAAACACATGAACAAACCCTTTTCCATTCATAAAGTGATCTACTCACTGCTTTTTGAAAGCTAGAGACTTGCTTTTGCAGCTTGCTCTTCACAATTCCTAGCACAGCATAGTGTGCAGTAGTGTCTTAATGTTTCCCCTGCTCTGCGTCTAGGTGTTGCTGTGCTGCCCTCAGGGTGTTCTGCAGGTCTTTGTACTGGGCCAGGGAGCAGGCCTCCTCCAGCTTGGCCCAGCGGTAGTCCTGGTGCTCCTCCGACAACGTGACGGCCATCTTGGGGTCCCTCAGCTCCGCGAGCCAGTACAGAACCGTCTTGGGCCGCCCTCTCACCTCGTAGCACAGCTCCTGGAGAAAGCCATGTACCACCTGCAGATGCTCCTCCCCCAGCCCTGCTTCCTCCTGCGTCTCCCTCAGAGCGGTGGTGAAATCATCCTCCCCAGGGTCCACGTGGCCTAGAGACCAGCACAGGGTTGTGTTCATTGGACACCAAACAAAAGAAAACAGACAAATAGGGAGGGACTTCCTGGCCTTGACCAATCAGAATCTCTTCTTTTTCATTTTCTGTTACAAAATGTTTTGCTACGGTGTGCCCTAATGAATACGACCCAGCACGACATAACAAAATGTATTGTTGTGTTTCTCGATTTGGTATGGGACCAAAGATAGTGCAAGGTAGAATAGAGCATGAATTCTACACCTTATTCTGCACATTAGAGAACGTGTCACAAAACATGACATGGGTCAGATGCCATGAGTGGCATGTTGATTTTCATACTCTAGGTCTGTTTTAACAGGCATAATGTAATGTCACACTTATAAAACTCTCACAAGGGGACTATTGACAGTAGGCTACACCTCAAGCAAAGTGTTAGCTACTAAAATATGTAGCCTGCCATCAATAGACCCTTATGACCCTCATAAGAGTGATATTATGCCTGTTATAACAAGCCTAGAGGGTATGAAAACGAACATGCCACTGATATGCACCATACCTTTGGGTGGGGTCCAGTGGTGCTTGCCATATGAAGTCTGTAAGAGGAGGTACTCAATGTTGTGCTGGGGAACCGAAGACTGTGACAGCCGACGAAACACAATGAATCCACACGCACGCAACGCCATCACCTCCTGAAGCACAGACATAGACATTACCCTCACAGTGCATTCGGAAAGCATTCAGACCCCTTCACTTTTTTCCACATTTTGATACGTTAAGCCTTATTCTAAAATGGATTAAATGGTTCCCTCCCCCCCTCATCAATCTACACACAATACCCCATAATGACAAAGCAAAAACAGGTTTTTAGAAATTTTAGCAAATGTTTTTAAAAAATACGTAAGTATTCAGACCCTCTACTCAGTACTTTGTTGAAGCACGTCTGGCAGCGATTACAGCCTCGAGTCTTCTTGGGTATGACGCTACAAGCTTGGCACACTTGTATTTGGGGAGTTTCTCCCATTCTTCTTTGCAGATCCTCTCAAGCTCTGTCAGGGGGAGCGTCATTGCACAGCTATTTTCAGGTCTCTCCAGAGATGTTCGATCAAGCCACTGCGTTGCCTTGGCTGTGTGCTTAGGGTTGTTGTCCTATTGGAAGGGGAACCCTCGTCCCAGTCTGAGGTCCTGAGCGCTCTGGAACAGGTTTTCATCAAGGACCTCTGTACTTTGCGCCGTTCATCTTTCCCTCGATCCTGACTAGTCTCCCAGTCCCTGCTGCTGAAAAACATCCCCAGAGCATGATGCTGCCACCACCAACCTTCACCGTAGGGATGGTATTGGCCATGTGATGAGCTGTGCCTGGTTTCCTCCAGAAGTGACGCTTGGCATTCAGGCCAAAGAGTTCAATCTTGGTTTCATCAGACCAGAGGATCTTGTTTCTCATGGTCTGAGAGTCCTTTAGGTGCCTTTTGGCAAACTCCAAGTGGGCTGTCATGTGCCTTTTACTGAGGAGTGGCTTCCGTCTGGCCACACTACCATAAAGGCTTGATTGGTGGAGTGCTGCAGAGGAACTCTGGAGCTCTGTCAGAGTGTCCATCCTGTTCTTGGTCACCTCCCTGGCCGGGCGGCCAGCTCTAAGAAGAGTCTTGGTGGTTCCAAACTTCTTCCATTTAAGAATTATGGAAGCCACTGTGTTCTTGGGGACCTTCAATGCTGCAGACATTTTTTTATACCCTTCCCCAGATCTGTTCCTCAACACAATCCTGTCTCTGAGCACTATGGACAATTCCTTTGACCTCATGGCTTGGTTTTTGCTCTGACATGCACTGTCAACTGTGGGACCTTATATAGACAGGTGTGTGCCTTACCACAGGTGGACTACAATCAAGTTGTAGAAACATCTCAAGGATGATCAATGGAAACAGAATGCACCTGAGCTCAATTTCGAGTCTCATAGCAAAGGGTCTGAATACTTATGTATTGTATTATGTTTTTTTATTTTTAATACATTTGCTAAAATTTCTAAAAACCTGTTTTCGCTTTGTCATTATGGGGTATTGTGTGTAGATTGATTAGGAAAAACAATAATCAATTTTAGAATAAGGCTGTAAAGTAACAAAATGTGGAAAAGGTTAAGGGGTCTGAATACTTTACGAATGCACTATGCATTCGCCTCTCTCTTTACGAATACACAAATGCATTTATGGTCACTCAAACATTAACTTCATGATGATTTACTTCATGACACTCCAAGGTAGTTTTGGGGTTACGTTTTGTTATTGAACAATTAGGGTGGGCTGTACTAGGCCTAGTAGAGAACACATTGATTTGAATGACTAATATGTTGTTGAATCATTGGCTACTGAAACTAGCCTATGAGTTCGTGGTTACTGTACATACAGTAGCTTATCTCTAAAATGCAGCACGCTATATAGCTAAATTTTCAGGATTTTAGTAATGCCCCCAAATAAACATATACAACACAAAGCAATAATTCCACATTATGTCTCGCCATAACCATAAACGGTTAACACTGACTGCGGTAACTAGCATTACAAATTCTCATGAAAAAATAGTCGCTGGGAAGCAGTGAATTTCGTCCATTGCTGGTTAGCTTGTTCTCACAATAGTCTACAATGAGTTTCTAAAATAAGTTATAACCATTCACTACACTGACTTACTGTGAAATTACTCAAGTTAAATCAGAAATGCTTGTAAGAAGCGCAGGTGTTGATGAACTTTTCTTGATTTCAGGCAGTCTTGAACGTAGCTTTCCTCATTCTAATTTCGCGTTCCGATTGGCTGAATAGTCCGTGCTATTCTTGGGACGCCCCTAACCCTTATCCCTTACCTTAACCAATTTAAATTGCAATTTAAATGGTGGTAGGGATGTCCCAAATCCAGGATAGCGTGGATGTAGGCTGAATGTCCAGAGATACTTTTGAGGAGATGGAAAACTGCAATGGATTAGTATTCACGCCCATTGTGTACGTTGCCTATGCGTCGTCAATGCGCCGCGCGGTGCATTTTGGGCGACTTGGGGACAAGGGGAGCTTTCCTTCAAGGCGTGAAAGAGAGTCCATTGGGCGCTACCTCAAAACCCCAACATTAGTTTTGTGAACAAGAAGTACAACATTACAAATATTTTCAGAGATGTGAGATAATTAACTTGTTCTCTGTAATATCGTATAGCTTTGGAATCGTGACATTACGTATTTTCGAGGAAAATGGCAGGTTTCTCGACTCACCATGACTTTGAGAAGGGATTGCGTGGCGATTGGGCGTTATGTTTCGCCATTCATTGCCAATGGGATTCCTATCTCCTCCTTTCTCTAATATCTGGAATGGCTAAGGCAAGTGGTACGCTAAAAAAATAAGTCCGGGGTACGCTAAAAAAATAAGTCCGGGGTGTTCATGCTGAGTACTGATAGAAAGGTCCGCTCTCAAAATGTTATCATTACGTTGGATAAAAAATAAAAATAGAAACTCATTAATTAATTAAAAACAACAAAAATGACAGCGCATATCTCAAAGACTTAACAAAGTTAATATGTTGATAGTTAAGATGGTATTTGTATTATGAAATCACGGAATTCATGCAATGACTGATAACAATTAACCCATTTACTATATAATACTGATATGTTTTTTAATATATCTTACAGCAAACATTCTAGTCTGTCTATGTGAATATCCACCTTGTGTTAGAGATAAAAACAACGTGCCCACTCGGGAGAGTGAAATTGGTAGATATGGCCAACTGAAAGGGGCTGGAGGGACAAGATAACAACATGGTACTTCCTTATTAGACCAGGCCACTGGGTGCATCTCAAATTAGTTAATTACAACTTCAGTAAGAGAGGAGAACAAGCTGCTACCAAGGTAAAAATAAAAGACTATATGACATAATTTTTAAAAATTGAAATGTGTTTTTACTTTATTAAGGAGAAAAGGGAGGGAAAGAGCCAACTGATTATGGGCTGGTATCTACAGTGCCTTCAGAAAGTATTCACACCCCTTTACTAATATTTTGTCAACGATTAACACAAAATACTCTGTAAAGTGGAAGAAATATCTATATTTAATTTTTTATTTATGGGAAATAAAATACTAATATATCTTGATTAGATTAGTATTCAACCCGCTCAGTCAATGCATGTTAGAATCACTGCTGCAGTGTGTGAAAACCTGGTCAAGACCTACAGGAAACGTATGATCTCTGTAATTGCAAACAAAGGTTTCTGTACCAAATATTAAGTTCTGCTTTTCTGATGTATCAAATACTTTTGTCATGCAATAAAATGCAAATTAATTACTTAAAAATCATACAATGTGATTTTCTGGATTTTTGTTTTAGATTCCGTCTCTCACAGTTGAAGTGTACCTATGATAAAAATTACAGACCTCTACATGCTTTGTAAGTAGGAAAACCTGCAAAATCGGCAGTGTATCAAATACTTGTTCTCCCCACTGATGGGACGAGACTAACTACCAATTGGATGTCACGAAATTGGGGAGAAAAAGGTGTTAAAAAATACATAATAATAATAAAGTGCTATCAATCTATTGTAAGTAAATAAATGCACTTGGGGCGTATCTCTCGACCACTGTGGTAGATTTACGTCATTTTCCCTTAGTGGTTAAGAGCGTTGTGCCAGTAACCGAAAGGTTGCTGGTTCTAATCCCTGAGCCGACTAGGTGAAAAGTCTGCCGATATGCCCTTGAGCAAGGCACGTAACCCTAATTGCTCCTGTAAGTCGCTCTGGCTAAGAGCGTCTGCTAAATGACTAAAATGTAATGTAAAATAAACTGTTTGCTTATTCTGCAATACTCTGATCTTCTGCTCTTTGGACAGATGCTGGAGGACCGTTGCAAAATGGAGACATAGCGGTGAATGACCTAGTATTGTAAGCTTGATCCAGATAAATCTATTTAATCTTTGCTGTAATCAATATCTTAGGTGCCACCTATAGCCCTGGTGCCCTTGAGCAAGGCACACAAACCCCAAACGGCTCCAGGGTCGCTGTTTGTGTGTGTCTGTGTCTGTGTTTGTGTGGTGTGCCAGGTTGGTAACTGTCAACATCGATGAATATCTTTCACATTTTCAGTTTGCTCCTCTATTCATGCACCTTGGTTGGAAACAAGGTGCTAGCGACCAGAGGAGGCTGGTGGGAGGAGCTATAGGAAGACTGTCTCGTTATAATGGCTGTAATCAAATGAATGGAACGGAGTCAAACATATGGTTTCAATATTTTTGATACCGTTCCATTAATTCCATTCCAGCCATTACAATGAGCCCGTCCTCCTATAGCTCCTCCCATCAGACTCCTCTGCTAGCGACATATCTTTTCCTCTGTACATATACGCTCAATCTAAATCTAAATCGATAAAGACCTTATCGTCTTCATTTGGTTCTTCTTGCAGGAATTTGACGGCAAACTGTGCATTGTGTGTCCAAAGCACAAGTACAAGATCTCTCTCGCCGAGGGGGAGAGCATCTACAGAGCCACCAACCCCTATGACCCTCTGCCCACACCAAGGTGGTACTCCAAGGGCATCAAGCAAAGAGTCCACACTGTGACCGAGACCGATGGGGACGTCTATGTCACACTGTCCCACGTGTCCCGTTTTATCGAATCTGACTACTTTCAGGGAGAGAAGGGCAAAGTAGAGAGAGAGAGAATGGAGGCCGAAGA